GGGGACAAATTATGTCTACTAAGGTCAACAACTGTGGACTATGTTAAAAAAGAAAGACCTTAGTAATTAATAAAATACATTAATTTTAATTTATGAATATTTCATATAATTTAAAAAACACCAAATCAGTAATTATTTTATCCCCAAAAAAGAGACCATAAAACATTTCCTGAAGTATTCAACTCCAACATTCGTAAGGATTTCTAGCCTTTATGCATTAAAGAACAGCTGAATCCTGAAACCAAATGTCTCCAACAGCAACATACAGAGGGGAATTTATAAAAACTGGAGCAGACCAAATCTGGAGCAGCTGTGCATGACAACCAATTAGCTTCTCTCTTTCATTTTCAAATCTTAACTGAGCAAACTGAAGAGAGAAGCTGATTGGTTGCCCTGACAGATTAAATTCCCCTCACAGTATACAAAAACAACTCATCCATGAGGCATGATCATGGCTAAAGGTTAATTGCTATGTCCCTACTCCAAAGATATCCATTCACTTCCTGTTCTGGTTAAAGGCGCCACCAGAACAAGAAGTGAAGGAAAATCCCTCTAAAGGGGACACATTAAGCACATTTTTTTTGTTTTGGATACAGTTGAGAAGGGTTAGTTGTTTAGATATAGCGTCTCAAGCTATAGCCTGAAGCCCTATAGCTATAAATAATGTTATGCCTTGCGCATACATGTATGTTAAGATCAGCAAATACTTTTCTGTTCTGTCAACAAACATTTGCTTGTTGTATACACTTAGTTTCTTCCATTGCCATATAGCAGGATACAACAAAAGCTAGTAGCTACAGTATATGTGGCAACCACTGAAGTAGATGAGATGTGTCTCTCACCATGGATGGACCATGAACTCAAGCATAGATGTTTTTGTCACTGTAATCAGCCATTATGGAAGATTAGGTTCCCTGAGCAGAGGGCAGTCGGCACTCGTTGTATTAGAAATGGAAAATAAGGAAGTTCACTAGAAAAAAAGAAAAGGTGTAAAGGTGAACTGTAATAACACATGCTAGGGCAAATATTGCAAAAACTGAGATTGCAGACTTCTTGTAATAAAAAGAACTGCCCATAACAGCCACCAGCTGTGCTTCCTCAGAGCAAGCCAATTTTCAGAGACTTGCAGATCACCCAATGCATGTGTTTGCTGTGACTGGCTTGGGGAATGAGGAAGGCGAATGTCAATATAATAGGGGTAATATAATAGCAATCAGTATTTCTAACAATGAGTCATTCTACCCACTGCAGCAGCCAGTGGCATCTGCACGCACCCATGGTCATGGAGATAAAATTGTTGAATCACGCAACTGTCATTTCACGTCCAGTGGAATTTTTGCTGTACACAGTATAAAGTAGGTTTAAGGTAAAAAAAACACTTTAGATCCTCCTTTCCTTTGCCTGATTTTTAGGTGCTCTTGTCTCACTTAGGGCTTGCCCTCAACCATGGCAAAGAGTGGAAGCAGAAAATAGGCAGTTTGGTGTTTGACTTAGAACTGCCATTTCTTTTTTTTATTATTAAAGATTGCACAGAAACAACTTTTCAAGAATACACAGATAATGCATTAGACGTACCAAAAAACCCCACAAAAACATCAGTACAAAAGAAATCAACTGAGACTGATGTATAGCACACAATAAATAAAAGGCATGATACAGTTGGTCGATTTGTGTGAGGCCCTCACAACATAATGGGCCTCACATTTCAATATTAGGAAACCAGGGGCTAGTGTGGGAATAACCGCCAGGGCTATCAGGCAGAAAATCTATGTAAGAACACACCAAGGCAAAACGAACATTGGAGAGGAAGACGAAGAAGGAGAAATAGGGAGAGGAGAAGAAAAGGAGGGAAAAGTGATAAAGAGAAAAAAGAGAGAGAGGGAGAGGAGGAGAAGGGAAAGGGATGTCAGCCCAACAGTCGTCAGAATGACTGCATAAAGCCACAATATAGCATAATGAAAATAACAACGTTATTAAAAAAAAATAGGTAAGAAGCTCATGTCAAGGTCCGGAATTCCTCAGAATCCATGAAAAGAAGCCAGGGCATTCATCTGGATAAAAAGATATCAGAACAGTCAGACCGCTTAGCTATCAGCTCTTCAGATCGCGTCAATTGGCAAAATTCCATCGTCCACTCCGCAGCCGAAGGAACGACTGGGGAATTCCAGTTCCTCTGTATTTGAGCCCTGGCAGCGTTGACAAAAAAGGGAAGGAGGGATTTGTTCACTTTAGAGATAGGGCCCAGAAAAATAGATAATATAGCAATTTTAGGCATAATATGATGCTTACTAGAAGTAACTTTCAAGTTGACGTTTGAAATGGCCAGCCAAAAGGGCAAAATCAGGGGGCAACTCCACCAAATGTGAGTTACAGTACCCACGTCAGTCTGGCATCTCCAACAGGCATCTGAATATGCTGGATAAATGAACTGCCATTTCTTAATCCAAATGGAGGCAGAAGCAAGACACAGGACCCGTTTGGAGAGCCAATCGATACCCCTTCATGGGTTTAAGTGACTTGTCATTGGCTGTAATGGACTCATATTTGGGAGCCTGGGCTTGTATGTCAAAGCCAGGAATGAGTAGTCAATGAGTTTTCACAGGGTCTAATGGACTTAAATCTTGGAGCCTGGGCTTGTATTTCAAAACCTAGAATGAGTAGTCAGTAGTGGACATCAATATTAGACAGCCATGCAGCCAGCTGGATTGCTGGGGCCCTGTATCATGTTATCCGTTTTCCATTTGCAGAATCAATAAAAATAAATTTCTGGACTCTTAATATGTTAGTTTGGAACTCATTGTTATTAATGACTGCAGCAAAGACTAGGCTTCCTCAGGAACTAGGTAAGTTAATTGTTAATTGGATGCATTCCTACATGCACAGAACATAACTAGGTATTACGTTTTATAGGTAAAGGACAACAGGAATTGTTGATCCAAGGAATATCCAATTGCCTTATGGGATCAGGAAGGAGCCATTCTTTATAGGGTTTTTTCCTTCCTCTGGATCAACTGTAGGTAACTGTGGGCATATGGTTCTGTTAATGAAGGTTTTCCTATTTTTCTTTGTTTTCTCTCTAGGTTGAACTTGATGAGTGGTGCTGCAAAATAAAAGTCATAAGGATGTTTCTTTTCGGGAGGAGGAGTATGCCTTGCTCTATTTAAATAATAGGGGTTAGGGGATTTGCAGGTAGGGGGCTGCAGTAGTGAGGAGCAAAGCAGACTCTGTTTTCAGCACCCCCCCCCCCCCCCCCCTAATTGCAACCT